GGCAAAAATGTTGGTGTCCCTGGCAAGATGCAAAATTTGCTGTTTATATTATTATGAATGGTAGAGTCTGATTCTTAAGCAAGATTTACTATTGAGATCTATCTATCTATCTATCTATCTATCTCAATAGTTAATAATAAAACCAATAATTTGAATAGAATTTACAGCTGCAACAATAGATGAATTATTCCACCGCACTGGGTAGTCCCACTTGCATCAAACAACCTCAATGATTACATTCATCTGGTGATAACATTTAAAACAGTTTCCCTCCATAACCCAGGTTGACTTCCCTCTGGTCACACTCCCCTTCCCATAACAATAAATGGCAATACAGCTTTAACTATGATCCACACTAGGTGTCAGAGGTGAGGTTATGCTGCTCCAGGGATGGTGGACTCTCTGCTCTTTCTTGGTAACTCAGCCAAAAAAAAAAAAAAAAAAAAGTCTCCAATCAGCCACTGCAGGTAATAGGCTTCTTTTCTTTAGTTTCTTTCTGAAAAATACACCTCCTGCGAACACTAGGGGTTGAGTGTCCCCTCATATACCCATGCAGATTTGGGATTCTCACGGTCCACTCTGGGCTCTCTCTCCCCCCCAGCACCTCCACATGCAGACAGGGGATTCCCTCTGCAGGCCTGTGCCTGCAGTACAAACCTTTCCAGCCCAAACAGAGGACTTACATCTGCAGGTCCCTGACCAGGCATTCCCTGACCAGGCAGCTTCTCCCAGCTAGCTCTTTCCCTGGGTACCTGTGTCCCTGATTGCACAGCTCTGACCCGGGTGGGGAATCAGCTTCTCCTGGGATGACTGAGGCTTTCCTCTGTCCTGAAGTCTGCTCCCCAGCAAGCCTCAGCAACATTCCCTCTGCCTGTTCGGGAAGAGGGTCTGGTGTAGGTTCCAGGTTGGTGTAGCTCTCCTACAGCTTCTCTCTCCAGCTGCTTTTCCCACCCTCAACTTTTATGGCTCCACAGTAGCCAATCAGAGCCCAGAGTTTGCAATGGGGGCTCTGGTTACAGTTCAAATCCTCATAAAAAACATGCATTTTGCATAGCATACCCTCCATTTGGAAAAGCTATTGAACCCTCTGCAAACTTTTTACCGCCTTTTTTGCAAAGTTCTTAGGCACAGCCCACCCACTCAGCTTGCAGCCAAGCAAGACTTTGCAGCTGTTACATTATTACTTTTTTTTTTTGCTGGTAGTGGTTCATTTAAGTATTATCTAGCTGGTCACCATCTTGTAGAAGAGAAGATTTAAAATATTTCTCTCCAGTCTTAGAGAAGTTGGGTGAACATTAGTTGTGCTTGATCATGCAGCTAGAAAACTAGTGAAATACCCTCTTGCCACCCAGCTTCCCTTGCTCCCTATCAACAGTCCTGGAAATATCTAAGAGTACTTTGTGGCTTTAGGCCCAAGTAAAACAAAAACATTAGTCATGGCCCCAGAGATGATTCAGTGAGTAGGACAGTGGTTCTCAACCATTGTAGACTTAAGGCGCCCCTGGATAGATTCAAGGCGCCCCTCATCAAATGTCAGCTCTTAGTTTTTACTCATTTTCTGAGTACAGAAAAATACTGGAACAATTTGTCTGTTGCAAAGAACTCAAAAAGACTACAGTAGGTCTGAATGTTTTTAACACTATGGCTTCCTATTTGAAATCTCTGGGTTTATCTTGTGAATCATGTTTACACACTTAACAATGTTAATATTGCATGGTGCCCCATCATACCTTTGGCAGAATCTCAAGGCATCCCAAGGTGCTGTAGCATTCTGGCTGAGTGTCACTGGAGCAGTGGCTCTACCCCATACTGGACTGGCCAGTAGCAACACGCTATAATGATCAGATGTCTACCTCAGTCAGGCTTAGAAGTAATAGTTTATTCCTTATGCCATTTAATGACTGGGAAAGGCAAAGCAAAATATAACCATAATATAGGAAGGGAGATTCTGGCTACTAGAAACAGAGATGATTTGCACAAGAAATAGCTGGAAGGGCCATTTGAAAAGTCAGAACCACACAGCTCAAACCATAATGCTCCTGTGTGCAGGGCCGTCCCTGGGGGCAGGAATCGGGGCAACCGCCCTGGGCTCCACACTGTGGGGGCCCTGCGGAGCTGGGCGGGGTGTCTGTGGTGACTCCACGCTGCCTCTGGCTTCACATCTGGCTGCTTGTCCCTCCCCCCGCCGCCCACTGCTGAATCCATGGCCTCCAACTGCTCAGCACCCCCCCACCACCGAATCCGCCACTGGCTTCCTTGCATCTGGGGGGGGGACCCTGCACAGGCTGATTTCCCCAGGCCCCACACCCTGCTTGGGTTGCCTCTGCCTGTTTGTCATGATTACTGGAGTAGTGCCGTGATGGCCCAGTTGACCGCCTTCTAGCATGTTAGGGGCTCAGTCAAATATCTCTCTGGTTCTGTTGAGCTTGGTTCCTAATCCTCTCCAGTGTTTGTTCATCTTCAGCATTCAGTTTACAAGGCCCTTCATGAATAACTAACTTTTTCAAGACTCATGCACCCTTCATGTTTATGCCAGGAAATGGAAACAGCCTGCAACTAAAAATATGAAGAGCCACAGTGGGCACATCTCTACATGTCCCTATGGCACCTTTGTTACTGCGCTGTCATTTAGTACTTCCTTTTGGAAGTACTAAATGACTCAAGTAAACAATGACGGTGTGGTAACAGCCTCTACTGCATTGTGCATGGTTATTTTTAGCTGCTAAGTCACTGTAGCAACACGCTATAATGAGGGCCCATGTTGCTACAGCGATGTAGCTGCAGCGTCACAGTTTGTGACTGCTGATGCTATATCACTGTAGCGTATTGCTATGGTGATGTAGTGTAATGTGTAGACATGCCGAGTATGTAACTTGTTACTTAATACAATGAGATTGTGATCCAAGAGTTTTTATTTCCTTTTTTCATTCTTGCTGACATTAATGGTAGGAATTATAAATGTTCTGTGTCTGGGAGAGCAAAGTTCTCAGACAATGCAGATTGTCTGGAACCTACGCAGATATTCCAAATAAGTCTTTAGTCAAGGGAGCTAGAAAGCTGACTGCTGAATATGTTTCTGCATAACAGGAAGGGAGAAGAGTGATCCTACTTTTTGGAACCTAGAAATGTTATTCTGGTGGTGTCCGTTACTTCCATCTGCCTAGGTTTTCAATTCATGTGCCAAAACCAGACTGGCATGTCAGTTCACCAGCCAATTGCTGATATAACTTTGCGAAGTGGGATTCCTCTGACTCGCAGCTTTGTGAGTGTTATAGCACTGAAAACATTTGCATTAATTTGACGACAAGAGGAAAAAGAAGAAATAGAAAAAGAGTAACCTATTGCTTTCTGTTTAGGAGCGATTGGGTGACATCTTATAGGGTAATGGTGAGCAATGACAGTCACACCTGGATCACTGTCAAAAATGGATCTGGTGATATGGTGAGTACCATAAAATAGGGGCTTCATGAGCAATATGGAGTTAAACATACTTGGGGAAGAAAACACATTGAATTTTGAATTTTCAAGTTGTATTACATTTTTTTGGTATATAATTACACAATGTGTACAATTTACAATACAATTTATACAACGTATTATAAAATTATAAAATGTGTACGTGTGTGTGTGTGTATATAACCAATTGTGTATATATATTAGAGAATCTCCATGAAGCATCTAAGGAGGTACATATGCCCCTAGACCTCCCCATTATCTGAATACTCTTGTTCTGTCCCACCTTGTACTGTATACATTGGTTCTACAGAGTACCCTCCACTGGTTTTGCAGAGATAATCCCTCCAGCTCCTTGCACACACTGAGATATAGGTGCAAGGAGCTAGATCCTCAACTGGTGTGTATTTCCTGGCATCAACCAAATTACACTGATTTACAGTAGATGAAGATCTGTCCTGATGTGTGAATTTGAACAGAGACATTCTCAGCCAGGGTCCCACTGACCTCATCTAAATTTTAGGGCAAAGCATGGTACACAGACAATAGTAATTCATGGTAAACAATTTTGAATCAACCTTGGGAATCTGAATACAAAGGTTTAAATTGTCAGTGTGTATGTAAGGGGCCCAGACAATCACATGCTTTGTGTTGGGAGAAGATCCAGGATTGTATGTTTTGGGTGTCCCCCAGTCCTTAGGTGTGTGTTGTCCAAGAAGGCTCTGGAGGAGATGGGCAATGAGCTCCATCTCCTCTTCAATCTGGCTCACTTATAGTTGACTTGTTAGAGCATTTCTTTTTGGAGATTCCCTCTCCTATGACTCAAGGTCTTATCAGGGTGCAGTCTAAACCCAACTTCTGAGGAGTACCTGATGTTACAACCAAAGGTTCCCTTGATCCCTTTGAAGAGCTAAACCTGACTTTTTTTATGTTTGATCCTAAATAGATTTTTGAAGGAAACAGTGAGAAAGAGGTCCCAGTGCTCAATGTGCTACCAGTGCCCCTTGTTGCACGATATATCCGTATAAACCCTCGATCATGGTATGGAGAAGGGAGCATATGCATGAGAATGGAAATCTTAGGCTGCCCTCTTCCAGGTAAGCATCATTCTTGGGTATAGATGGCAAATACTGTCAGAACCACAATACTTAGGGTGTAATCTTAAAGCCTGTCCTGGTATTTGATTTAATATCTCTTTTTAATAAAGCGTGTAAAATACAACTGGCATAAATAGTGTAATTCTGTTAATTGGAACAGTAAAATGCATAGTCTGAAAAATTGCACATGTAATCTAATGAGGATTTCTCTTATGTTCAGATGAGGTGCAAAGTCATACACCTTATTAAGTGAACATGTTCCAGGAAGGTATTAAAATTACACTGAAATATTCACATGTGGGTTTGATACATTCATAGATTTTTAAGGCCAGAAGGGACCAGTGTGAACATTTATTCTTACTTACAGCATAGCACAGGCCATAGACATTCCTTGAATTAATTCCTGCTTCAAGACCGATAGCTATGGTTGAACTAGAACATATCTTTTCAGAAAATGTATCCAATCCAGATTTTTAAAATTCTGGTAATAGAGAATCCACCATAATCCTTGTTAAGTGTCAAATGTGGGCGAATTTACTTCGTGACTATGGAAGTCACATATCTTGACATTTAGTAAAGGAAAATCTTTTAAATGCTAGACTTTTCATTATACATAGTAGTGCACAAAGTATCCCAATTTTTGTCCTTTGGAAGTTTAAATTGTTATGAAAATAAGACATTTAATGTTATGCTGGTGCTAGGACAATAAAGGGGTTACTGAGCAGAATATTGCTATAATTACTTCATGAGTTAGCAGATACAAGGTAGGAATTCAAGTTCCTTTATAGAGAAAAGGCATTCCAGATTTCATATCGCCTCAAACCTATTATATGTTTTCATTAGATATTTTAGAATCAGGTTTATGTGGGTATATCATGTCAATATATTTTTGCATCCGTTTGTAGAAGTTTTTTCTCCCCTAAGGTGGTCAACTACTGATTCTAAATCCTTCAACTGCATTCTTCTTTGATCTTAAATCTGGCATCTTGGGGATAGCTCTCTCTTTTTTTTGCAGGGGGCTATGAATAGTATTCTCAAAAATACTAGAGCCAGAAAAAGAACTGCCTTTCCAGAGCCTCTCATTACTGCTTTAACTGCTCCTGCTGCTGTTCAGAGACTTGCTGCTTCCAGTTCCACTGTTGATGTAGGGTCTTCACATGCCAAACAGAGGTAGCCCAATTTTTGTCCTTTAGAAGTTTAAATACTTGTGCAAAACAAAACAAAACAAAACAAGGTTATACTGGAGCTGGGGCAATGAAGGGAGCGTTCTACAAGCAAGAAGGGATTATTGGGCAGAACATTGCCATAAAAACAAAGAGATTGTTGTCATAAATACTGGAGACAGAAAATAGAATTAACAGCCATGGTGGATTATACTACACTTCTTGGACTGTGTGTGAGGGAGCTAGGAATGTCCCTCCTGCTATGTACACTTAAGTGCACGTAGAAGTCTAGTTCATTGAAACCAACATTTTGGAAAGCTCAAACCTATGGGTTGCCTTTTTCCTGCTGTACTGATTGTATGTGTTGCCCTAGAGGCAATATTTCAGACCACTGATTGAAAGTACAGAAGGAAAAAAAAATCTGGTGGATTGGCAGAGATCAGTAGGTACTCTACATTTCATGTGGGGTTAGATAAGTATGTACAAGCACTTTAGAAATCGAAAAGAAGCAAATGAGGAGTTATCTAGCTACCAGTGTACAACTGTGGTAAATGCATGTGCAGGATGGGCATAGAGTAGTGGTGCCTGTGGGCCAAATTTGGCCCATGGAACCATGGTAAGCAGCCTGCAGGGCTCCTCATGGCTCGGGAAATTTGGTTATTGGAAATTAGTGGTAATTAATACTGTCACCCCTCCCCTGCTGTCAAATTCCCAAGCCTTGCATAGCCCGATCAGGACCAGGCCATATCCCCTTCCCCCTGCATGATGGAGTTGGGGCCAGACCATGTCCCGTTCCTCCCATGTGGCTGGATTAGGATTGGGTCCAGTCATGCCCCCTCACCCCATGCAGCTGGATCAGGGCTGGCTTGCCCTCTGTCCCTCCTCCATGCATCTAGTTTGGCCTCACCACACCCACTGAATTGAACCCACTAGCCAGATCTGGCCTGTAGACAGACCAAGCTTTGCCCATCCTACCCATGGGGCATAAAGGTTGAGCACCACTGGAATAGAGAAATGAAGGCAGTGCTGGTACCACGTTGAAGAACATCATATGCTACAGGGCAACAATTTATTCCCAGCTCTGTACTACTCCACTCTCTTTACTCAAACCAAAGGAGAAAAAGAACAAAGTGAATACAGTTTAAGAGAGAAATGTTTTTAAAAGTGCAGTTATTGCTTATGTAAGAAACAAGGACGTTTGTGCGTGATATCTCTTGGACCAACTACCTGATTGGAATAGACTTGGACAAACTTTCCGGTACTATGGTACCCTTCCTCTGGCCTCTGGGAAAGAAGTAGATACAGCACAGCTAAATGTAATATCTACTTATATACTGGTGAACCTCAGTTAATGACGTGCACATGGATCACATTCTGCTCAGTCCTCACTGTTAGCCCTCAATAATTTAGGTGGCTTCACTGCATTTTACCTGTAGACAACTTCTATATAGAAGGTTAAGATAGAAAGAACGTTCTGTCTGCAGCAGAGGAACAGTACTGAAAGGTCTAACTGAAGAAGATGAAGAAGGTACCAGGTGCTTAATTCACTTTGTAATTTGAAAAAGGTTGCTTACTCTGTATGTCTCTACAGATGCAGCCTGACATGCACAGTTGCCTCAGAGGAATAGCTGTACTTTTTTTGCTTGTTCTTTCTCAAGTCTAACATAAAGTTGAAAGAAACTGGAAATGATCAAAAATACCTAAAACATAGAAGACAAAAAATCAGATGAGCTTTTCATGGATTTATCTTTCTCGTAAAATGATCACAGTAGTAGATGAATTTTCAGTAGGATAAGTTGTTGCAAAACATTAAAATGTACAGAGTTCTCTTTAAAAATTATAACACTAAAACTGTTTAATCAAATCTGAGCCAAGATATACAACCTGATTTCAGCTACTGCATGGTCAAGTAAATACCCTATTTGATATCCGACTTTTTTGCTGTAGTTGCCTAAAATGGTGTTAGAGAAGAGTATTTATTCTTATGAGTTGTTTTTGACATGCTACTCCACACCTTCAGTGATGAACAATCATTTACCCAAGTTGATCCCATTGACTTCAGTTAGATTACACAGAGAATAACTGCTCACTTGGAGTCCCAGACTGATTTTACTTTTATTCTGTTAGAGCCAATGCCTGAAGTAGCAGGAAAATTCAAGTTAACTTTGCCTGAGTCTGGGTTGTAGAAAAATGAGTCCAAATTCAATAAGGATTTTGGGTTGTAGCCAATATATTATAACACTACAGATTCATCAAGGGAGATGTCAAACAACACTGTTACCCTCAAGAAGTTTCCTTTTACTTTTTCATTGTTACATAAAATGTTTAGATAAAGTGTTATTCTTAGGCAGCATTTCCTAGGCTTAAAATGGAAAAGGTTGCTAGAAGCAATAATGTTTGTAGAGTCAGAATTAACTTTAAATATACTCATTATAAATGGTTAAAAAATTAGAAGAAAACTTTTAAAAGGTGATCTCTAGTGATTAGGGACTTGATTCTTCTCTCATATATACAGATTTTAACTGTCATACAATTCACCTATTGGAGTTTCCCCTGATTTACACGGGTGAAAACAAGAGAATAAGCAGAGACTATCTAAAGAGTATGGTTTCATTATTGCTTTAATGTGTCATGTCAATAGTATAAATAGACCATGTGAAAATAAACCTATCAGTCATACGAATGGCTGTCAGTCTAGGTTTTCAATATGATGGTTAGTATCTATGGCATATTCAGTTTGCTAGAGACCGGTCAAACTTGTGCCTATTTGTTATGAGCAAGGTACATACTTCCATCAGCAGAGGCTGAGATTTTTAGTTTAGTTAATTAATTTAGACTTTTATTTTCCTTTAATCTGAATAAGAGGTAGAGTTATAGCTGTTTTATTGCACTGGATATCTCAGCCCTAGTACAGGAATAGGAAACGGGACAAATGGAAAGAAAACTAAGGGCAATTACATGGAGTTACATAACAATAGCACTTCTGAATGTGGACCTTCACTTCAATGGAGTTGCAGGTGCAACATCATTGACGTAAAGGTGAACTTGAAAAATGTGTGATTAGGATAGACATACCTTTTGTGAATTAAAAAGGGAAGCCTTAAGATTATGCCATGCAAGGTGTTTTGAGAATGTTGATTTCATCCCCTAGTTATTGACAAACTCTTTTCAGACACAGCATTTTACACCAAAACTGAAAATACAAAAGTCTAAGAAAAAAACAGAATTAATATTATTTTTATAATTATGGGGTACCAAAGAATCCCCCCAATCAAGGAATAGCACTCTCTATTAGGCAATCAGTACACCTAAGAGCTCAAATCCAGATGACATAGGATTCAATATGAGTATGAAGCTGAGAACAAATGGTGGGGAAGAACTGGAGGATGACATTATAAACTGAAAAGACTTTAGCACAAAGTTTATATTTGCTTTATATAATTAGTTTTGATTAATGGAAAGCCCCAAAAATCCTGTTCTGGAAAAATGAATATTGTGGCGGTAAAAGTGCTTTCTCTCTCTCACTCTCTTTCTTCCTCATAGAATTGGAGCTGGAAAAAAGTTTCTTATGTTTTATGCCACCTAGTCTCATTTTGGGAAGAGCATAGGTAGGAGGCTGTCAGAATCTATTCTTTCAGAGTACTCATGCAAGCCAGTTCATAAATTGGCTGTGCTTCTGGCTTAAAATGGAAGTTAAAAGTTTTAAAAAACTCAGAACATTTTTTTTCCTGAATTCAGAAATGACAGTCTTTTGGGGGCTCTTCATGAAAAAAAAGGGAGATTGTTTGAAATGATGCCATGAATAAATAAGAATTTGGATATGGGATATGTTAACACCAGAGTATTTTACAGTAGTTTTGCATATCAGTATAATTTACATCAGTATCAGAAGTAAAGAGATGATCAATTATCTTGTGGTTGCTGCTGCAGTAGGCACTATGAGGGCTCCTCTAGATCTTACATGAATGCCATGATTAACATGTTAATAATTCCATTAATGGCAAGGGTGCTACATGTGCAACCTGTTTAAGACACTATAAAATGGCAAACCATCCATAAAAATGTTACACATATAATGTAGACCATTTTTATGCCTGGTTTATATAACACCTTAAATGAAACATGTAGTATGTCCACACACTGGTGCTACTTGGGGCAGATGCCTGACAGTGGAGGTGTGGAGGTTTTAACTTGCTGGTGCAGGGGGAGCCCGGGATCATGATCCCAGGCTCACAGTGCACTAGCATGTAGAAAGAGCATAAATAGGATATGAATCCTGATCCCAAACTTGTGCTTCCTGCCATGCATATGTAGCATGACTTCTTTTTGCATGAAAATAGATTGTTGCTTCCAGGGTGATCCTGCCTCCCAGCAAATGACATTTGGTGTGAGGGTTGGGAGTGGTTTTATAATTTCCTAGGTTATATTCTTGCTTCAGTAGAAATATATGGGCTGAACAGATTTACAGCAGAGCCTGACAAAATGTTCATTCTGAAGAGAGATGTAAATTTGTGCACATTTTAGTAACGGGAGCACGATAATCTTCCCATTATATGAATATTGTCATTTTGAGACATTTCCACCTAATCTGCAATATTAACTCCTATTAAAACAAAAGGAACATTTGATCCAAGGAGAAATGAAAAACATTCCTAAATTAAAGGCAATGGATATAAGTGCTGGGGATAAATCAGTTGCTCCTTGGTATTGGTTGGTTGACAAAATGTCGAGTATTCTGACAAGTTTTAAGCATTTATTTTTTATTAATATCTTTAAACAGTTTTTTCTAATGCTAGTAAATCTGTTTCCTACACCATTAAACACACTTTATTCTGCTGCTTCTGAGAACAGGTTGTTACATTGTTTGCATGTGATATATTTCAACATGAGGAGCCATTGAAAAGATTTAATATTAAGGATTACCATTGTTTTATAGTACTACCAGACAAAGTTACTTATTTTTCCTCTCCTCCCTGTTATATATGAATAAGGACCTAAAATGAAGATGATTCTTTAACATGCACTTAGCACCCTTGACTTGTCAAAAGCCACTTGATTGCCACACGAGAAGGAATATATATATATCTGTTCATTTGGCTGGGTTTTGAATTCCTGCCAGTTGGACAGCAAATTGAGGTTAGGTGATCTTGTTGCAGGGTGAGAATTTTGCAGCTGCAATGGGTGGACAGGTTTTGGAGGAATAAAATATTAATGACACTATTCTAATGCTTGTGGTGAAACAAAATTTCAACATTTCTGATGATGAGGGCTAGAACATGGAGGTGTAGAACAGGATAATGAAATAGAATTAGTAGTGGGGAAAAGCTTGAATTGTTTATAAGATTTTCATTTTTATAAGATTGTATTAGTCTTAAATCATTTCCTGGCATGCCAGGCATAATAATGCATGTACTGCTTATATGCTTTATTGATACTGTCACAATATTGGAAATATTCATTTTGTAATCATTAAAAGCAGCTGCTACCTACTTACTAACTGAAATTTCTTCTTGTCTAGATCAAAGTATTCCCTGTGAGCCAGTTCTACACATTGACAAACTTTTCATTTTGAATATTTTCCACTTTAATTTGATTTTTAGCATTGTGTCCTTGATTTTTTTTTCAGTGAAACAGCTTTTTCTGTTTCGAACTAGACAGTTTCTAATCAGATCTTCTAGAGTTTGGTGAAACTTCCAAAAAACAATGTTTCAATTTCCTACTAAAAATGAGCAATACCTAAAATTGGGGAGTGTTTCTGATTTTTCAAAATTACTTTGCACCTCTTTAACATATAACATTACAAATTAAATTTTTAGCGTGCATAGGATATTGTATATAGGAGTCTAGGTAGCTTGGACTTTTATTTAGCTGAATTGCCTGTGTGCTTACCTGGAAAGTCAAGGAAACACAGGTTTTCTTTTCCCTTTCATTTTAACCTTGACACCAATTTACTAATTGACATCCCATGGGTTTAATTAGATATGTGATGGCCTGCAAACTGTTGTGTAATTTTTGCACTGGTCACAGCAAACAGGGCAAATTATATCCATTAATTAAAGACAGAACTGCACTCATTTTAAACTAAAAAAGACACAAAACTCCTTCAGTGAATTTAAGAAAATACTTACTGAGAAATAATTATTATTGCCAACAGTGGTTCCAGTATTTTTTCAGGAAGTACATAGACTATGAAAATGTTCATAAATGAAGTAATAATTACTGAAACTATATAGTAATTAATTCTTCTAGTAGAATGAGAACATCTCCTGGAGCTTTTTCCATTGACATGCCATTACCATCCTTTTGCCTTATACCTGTTTGACACATCATTTCCTGGTTTCAAAGCTCCAAGATGCCCCTTGACTTCTGTTACTTTAGATTCACTGTTAGTGCCAAGCAGATGTCTCTCTTATAATAACTTTGCTGCTTACTTGCTCCTGTTTTGTTTAGCAAGAGTTGATTTGTATGGTAATTAGCAACATTTCATAGTGCTGTTTGTTAACATTTGCTGTTTAAAAAGACTTCATTTCATATGCATAAGAGAATCAGGTTGAGATTAAAGTGGTGTCCCGACATGCTTTTTCATTGGTCCTCTCTCCATTGGGAAATTATTTGTAACTCTATGCAAATTCTTATATTTCTTTTCACAGATCCAAATAACTATTATCACAGAAGAAATGAAATGACAACCACAGATAATCTTGACTTTAAACACCATAACTACAAAGAAATGAGACAGGTAGGCCACAGAGAACTCATGTTCAATGCCACTACGAGGATGTGTGTGTGGGGTGGGGGAGGGTGGGGGGTGGGTTCCGGAGTTGGGCTCTTATATTAGATAGCTGATCTCTTTCTTCCCCTCTTTTTACATTTTTAATAGTATGTTTAGCAAGGGGATGACCCTAGAAAAAGTGACTTTATGCACTGTTGAGCACTCTTTTCCCATACATGCTAATTGCAAATGACTTTTTCAGCAACATCTCTAATGTATTTCATTGTGAGATTGACCAAAGAAGGGCGCAGATAGAAATTATGTTTGTCTTGCAGTTGGCCCCCTGAAAGCGCTTTACAGCTGTGCTGTGACACACATGCACAGCTATAGAGTGCTTTTAAAGTGGCTGATCGTGTGACAATTTAACCCTCATGAAATGTGGAATCAAGTGAATGTGCCCCACGTTGGACTGCCTTAAGAAATTTGTATTTCCTAGGATTAATCTGTTGCATGATCGGGGCTGGGCTGATGTAGCCCAGCCCTGCCTCCAGGGCTGTAGGCAGGAAGGAAGCAGGGATGGGGAGGGGGAGTGAGCTCTCCAATGGTTTGCCCAACCTGAGCTAGAGGGGGTGGGTAGATTGGATGCCACCTCATAGCTCCGCCCCTCCAGTCACCCCCATCCAGCTCAGGGCCACTCCCCTATTCTCCATCTCTTCCTTCAGACAGCCACAGAACTAGGAGGTGGGATGAGGGGGCAGGGCTGGGGGAGATGACCGGCTCCTCAGCTACTAACAGGTTCCTCAGGCTCCTGCAGGCAGGCTCCTTTCCCCCCACCCCATCAGGTTAGGAGCTTTAACTCCCGCCACTTTATGTAAAGCGTCATGAGTTAGAGCGGGGGCTTGCATATCTGTCAGTGCCCTAGAATGACTTTTCCAGCAACCTCTAATGTGTTTTATTGTGAGATTGACAGAAGAAATGTCCATCAGCAAGCCTTTGTATTTTTTACTACTTATCAGTAGGTGGAGCATTGGACTGCATTATAAACCATGAAGATAAATACATTTTGGACCTCAGGAAACAGGTTTCTTATTTAGGGCTAACTTATTTCAAAAAGGTCTGTGATGCTTCTTAACAATACACTTTTGGGCTGCGAGGACTGAACAAAAGCCCTGTGGGGGTGCATCCACACATGCAGGAACATGTGCTTGCAGCAACTCAAATAGGAGTAGCATAAATTTAAGCCGGGGATCTTTGCCTCAGTGCACATGCCCATTCATGCACTTTGGTGTGGGACAAATTGTCACTTGGGGAAAAACAACCCTGCCCAGCTCCTCCCAGATCTGCGGCTAGTGGGAGTAGAGCCTGGGGCCAGCACCTGTGCTGGCCCCAGCAGTATAAAAACCTGCCCTGTGCTGGCTCCAGGAGTATAAAAACCTGGCCTGGCAAGCAACTCAGGAGCTCCTTGCTCTCAGGAGCTTCTAAGCCCCAGCCAATTGGTATCTGGGGACACTACCCCTTGTGCCAGATGGACTGGTGAAGCAGCCCTAACTGAGAGTTGCCTGCACCCCCTACCTACTGAAGCAGTTTGGCAGTGGGGGTCGCTGCCTGGCTATGACCTGCTGCCACCTGTGACAGCATGTGGCCTCAAAGCTGCATGCCTACCAGATTTGAATGGAGACTGCATGGCCACAGTAGAGGCATCCGCACCTCTGGGCCAGCTGCCAGTGGGCTGTGGCTGCAAAGTTGGTCTTTGTGTGGCGCTGCTGCCATATGTGCCGCTGCTCTGCCTTCTGGGCAGCTATCACCCAGAAGATGTTCTTAGTGTGGTAGCCTGCTTTGAACTGTTACAGTGTCTTCCTGGCCCCAAGTGGCCATGAGGTCAGCTACCTCCAGCTGGGTCCTGGGTGTTAGCCTTGAGCAGGCTTCTCTGCCCGGGTCCTGCCGCTTGCCTCACTAGCAGGAATTCTGGTGTTCTCTGTTTAAAAACTGCAAAATCTCTGACAAAAAAAGCCCAAATTCACTCTTTAAAATATCCCAAAATCCATGTTCTTCCACAATTAAAACAAAAGACCACTATATATAGAGAGAGACAGACAGACAGACAGACCAGTTGGGCAATGTTTTATTGATATATTTACAATTTTAAAGCAATTTGGAAGCCAACCAGTATCTCTATCATCATAAAAAAAATTTTTTTAAATATCTGTAAGTTTTGATGTTTGCTTTTGGTTTTCTTATCATAGAACAATTAGAGTTTCCCCTGACCCCCTCACTAACTAGGATGCGGGGACAGCTGCCTCTGCAGTCACAGCTCCTGCCAGCAGTTCTCAATCTGTCTGGCAGCTGGGCACACTGGGTGTGTGATGAGGGGATGTGGGGTTTGCAGGAGTGGAGTAGGAAGCGGTGTGGAGAGATGTATGTGTGGAGAGGGATGTGGGGGGACATGGGGCGAGTCGGTAGGTGTGGGTGGATTGTGGGGGTCTGTGAGGAGGGGACTGCTCAGGAAGGGTGGGTCCCCTGCCCCCCTATAGGGTGTAGCCCCCCCTGCACAGCAAAGGACTGTCCCACCCACAGGGCCCGTCCACAGACTCCCTTTTTTCTGGGGTTTTATTTTTATTTTAAATTTTATTTTAAATTTTGATCCTGCGCTGAAAATATGCAGCACAGGGAATGTTTTTTGTTCCCAGCGTGCCTCTTGCCACATCTCAAACTGCTTTGAGACATGGCAGGAGGCACATCAGGGCTCATCTAGATGCACCGTGGGAGTCTTTTGATTGATCTCAAAGGACAATGATTCAGTATCCTCATGTTTCTAACCAATGTCATGTTCATGTGCCTGTTATTAATTTATGGTAAAAAAAAAACTACAGGTTTGTTTGTTTTTTACCATAATGGGCTATTAAGATAGCTATTAAGATATTTAAGTTGATGAGATATTTTCTACTCAAAGAGTGCAACTACACATGTCCCTCATGGCACAGTTGTTAGCGCACCATCACTTACTGCAGCATCTCAGCAACGCTCAGTTATTTTTACCAGCTACGTCACCATAGCAATACAATTATAGTGAGGTAGCTTGTTGCTATGGTGATGTAGCATCAGCATCACTGTTTGTGCTAGCCAACAGTACACTGCTGTAGCAACAATGCTATGGTGATGTAGCAGCATGTGTAGATGTGCCCAAAGACCACAGGGGAATCATAGAACTGGAAGGGAGCTGTACACTCCCTTCAAGGCATGAACAGGAATTATTGGGCTCAGATGAGCGTGGCAAGGTGCCTGTCCAGCCTTCTCTTGAATATCTGCAAGGAGAGTAACTGCACCACTTCTGCTGGGTGAGTGTTCCAGATGACCCTTACAGAGAAGAAGTTTTTCCTTATATCTAACCTAAATTTATCCTCTATTAGTTTATGCCCATTGGTCCTTGTCCTCCCTTGAGGTGCCCTCCTGAATAGTTGCTGTCCTAGTTCTTGATGCTCCCCCCTGAGATACTTGTAGGCAGCTATCAAGTCACCTCTCAGCCTTCTCTTACTCAGGCTGAACAGGCCCAGTTCCCAGAGTCTCTCCTCATAGGGCCTATCCTCCATGCCCTTAATCAAATGGGTGGCCCTTCTTTATACCCTCTCGAGCTTATCCATGTCCTTCTTAAAGTGTGGTGACCAGAACTGGGTACAGTACTCCAGGTGAGGTCTCACCAACACTGAATAGAGAAGGAGGAATACCTCCCTGGATCTGTTTGCCACACAGCAGCTGATGCATGCCAGAGTTTTATTGGCCCTTTTAGCAGCCTTGTCGCACTGTTGGGTCATATTAATCTTCCAGTCAATCATGACCCCCAGGTCTCATTCAGATGTTGTGCCAGCTGGTAGACCACAGCTCATTTTATAGTTGTGGTGAGGGTTCTTCCTACCCAGGTGAAGGACCTTGCAGTTCTCCCTGTTAAACCTCATCTGAGTTTGTTCCACCCATAAGTCCAGTTGCCAAGGTCCTCCTGGATCTTTGCCCTATCCTCTGGGGTGCCCATGCTCCCCTACAGCTTGGTGTCATCTGCAAACTTAAGCATTGCACTTTCTACCCCTTCATCCAAATCGTTAATGAATTTATTGAATAGCGTGGGCACTGATCCCTGGGGGACCCCACTGGAGATGGCCCTCCAGGATGAAGCCATACCATCTATCACCATTCTCTGGGAGCGGCCTCTGAGCCAGTTGTTCACCCACCTCACTGTAGATTGGTCCAGTCCATTACTCTCCAGTTTGTTAGAGAGAATCCCATAAGAGATAGAGTCATATTAATCTACACATGAAGTCTAAGTAGATAACGTCAACCTCGTGTCCCTTGTCCAGATGGTTAGTGACCTGGTTGTAGAAGGACGCAAGGTTTGTCAGGCATGATCTGCCCTTGAAAAAGACATACTAGTTGCTGTTTAGTAGCCCATCAGTTACCAGCTTGTAGTTGATGGCCTCCTTAACCAACTTTTCTAAGATTTTACCTGGGACTAAAATCAGACTGACTGGTCTGTAGTTTTCTGGGTCATCCCTCTTCCCTTTCTTAAAGATGGGCACCACATTGGCCCTCTTCCAGTCATCTGGGACCACTCCTGAGTTCAAATAGCTTGGCCAATGGTGCTTCTATAAGTTTGGCTATTCTTTTAGGACTCTTCGGTGCAGGTCATCTGGTCCAGTGAACTTGAAGATGTCCAAATATTGTAAAGATCCTTCACCTATTCTGGGCTGATTCTGTTTAAGTTGTTACCTTCCCCTTGTTCCCTGGGACTCTGATCAGATGAGCAGCCCCCATTGGGTTTCAGGAATACTGACACAAAGTATGTATTCAGGAATTCTGCCTTTTCATGTGCATCAACTGTGGTCTGCCCGTGTGTATTCTGTAGAGGTCCCACAGTGCAGTCCAATTTTTTTTTATTGCTCTCTATGTACCTGTAGAAGGACTTTTTGTTGTTCTTTTTTTTAATGGTTGCCTTTTTGATCTCCTGGCCTGCCTTAACTTTCCATGTCTTGTATCTGCAG